TGTGAAATGTTTGCTGTCTTTGGCCTGTATTGATTTATACAGCTGTGTTTCTTCTTATACAATAGAGAAACTCTCCAGCTGCCCTCACCCAAAAATCATAAAATAAATACTCCAGTGTTGGATAAAAATGATTTGATGAACATCTTCCTTCCCAAGTTCCTGGAAACTCTGGAATTTAAGTGCATGAATTTGGAGGGTATAATCTGTCTGAATTTGAGATTACATGAGCAGAGCTCTATCCCCATGTCTGGCCATGGTGTCCTCTGCTACTGAAAAAGTCTGCAACCTCCAGATCTGTTAAGTCAATGGGAGTTGTTCTAATGCTATAATGTTCTAACACCTTTCCCAGGCTCTGTAATCTACCAGTGCTTCTCTTCTAAGAGCCTGCTTTGTTTCCTCCATCCACTTCCAACTTCATACTGTCTTTCATACAGGGCTTGTCTTCTTCATTGCAGAGTTAACTCGCATTATACCTCCTATGTTGTTCAAACCCAAGTCCTGTCCACACACAAACCTGAATTCGAATGCAGTGTTGCTTTTAACTCAAATTAGCTGGCACATCTGGAGTATGTGCTAAATCAGAGCTTTGGCCTAACTCATCCACTGCTAATGCAGTCACTCTGTATAGTAATGCAGTCACTCTGTGCAGCTTGAGTGTCATTTCTCAGAGTGGCTGCTCTCACCCTTGGTAGGCTAACTTGGGAGGAGTTAACTCAAGGATAGGTGAGTTAACTCTTCAGTGAAGACATAGCCACAGACCTCCAAGCTTGAAACCAACTTTATTAATATAAGACAACCTGCCCTGCTTCCTTTAAAAAAGCTTCTACTGTCCTTCTGTTCCAGGAAGTGTATAATGAACACTCGTAATTCTTTGTTTGACATGCTCCACCTGTTGTACAGGACCATTAGTGTACATTGATGCTATCTAAATAAAAATCTTGTGCTGGTAATACTGCATGAACTTCTCCTGGGAAGTTGTATAGGTGGAGTTCTAGAGTAAGTCTGTTCCATATTGCTTGTCTAATTGTAATTTAGCTTGCATTAAAGCCATATTCCTTTTTATAGCTAAGCAAAATTTCAAGTATTAAATTTGGATTTAGAATATGTTTGGAAATTTCAGATTTGCTGATTTAAAAAAAATCACTTCTCTACTTTGTGTCTGTTAAATACACATAGTTTGGATAGATCTAAGATTCAGATTAGAGAAAAACATGATAGTGTAAATTTTAGTTTTACGAAGTAATTCTCCCTCCTTGCTCATCTGCGATAATTGTTTTCAACTTGCCCCTCAACTCTTAGGTACTCCAAGCACACCAGGAAATGAATAGAAACCAATTGTACAAGGCAAGAAACTCCAGGCTAGAGTTTACCTGTAACACTCGGAGCTGATAAATGTGTTAATCCTTCCACAGAAAAAAATCAGCTTTCAAATTGCCCTTTCCCCATTTGAAACTAGCACAAACTATCAGCAAGAATGCAACATGCATGTGACAATTAAACAGGCAAATCTGTTTTGCCTGTGGTTCTGTTAGGTTTTCATTTACTCCCCTGCAGTGTGGAACTAGCAACCATAATTGCATGCCTGAACCTACAAAGGGTGGCTCTTTGTGTTTGTGTGCCCGGGATCACATTAGTAGAATCAATCAGGGATCTGACGATGCTGAAAGGAATATCTGGTTACACAAGCACGTGTATTGAGCTTGCAGCACAGGTGGAGGCTAGAGTTTTCTCATACAACTTGTTCCAGAGTGCTTGACTGTAGGAAACAAATGGAAGAAAAACCTTCCAATGCATGCCTGTGCAGTCTAACTGCTAGCCAGTCAGCATGGCTGCTGCTCCAGAAGAGGATGGGTATGGCTGGCATCCTCTCATGCCTACCTCATTTTAATCACAAAGTTACCTATATTCCATACAAATGTGGTGTCCCCTTACTTCTGTTGTTGAAAATTATTCACCAGAAATAAAGCATCATGAAACTAAGGTTATAGAAAGTTACTGATGCTAAGGGAATGAATCTCTCAGCATTTAAGTTTTCCTGCCTGAATAATTTTTGTCTTTTTATCACAGAAAGTCCCATGTTTGGGCCTTGGCAGGTTGAGGAGTATGGTGGATGGGAGTTATACAGAGTTATTCCAAGTGCTGATGTGACTGCTTCAACAAGTGGCATAAAGGAGATTTTGTTGGATGTGTACACTACTTTGAGTTTTTTGTAACATGAAAATTACAAAACTTTCAGGGAAACTGTTCGGAGTTTAGCATGTGGAAAAGTACTAGTGTAAGTAGATCCTGTGTTTTAGAATCCTAGGTATGATATTTTTTTACTTGGAGTGAAGTTAGACTGTGTTCATTGACCACCTGGATAATCTGATCTCAAAATATAAGGTCCTGCCTTTTCTTCCTGGGCAAGAAGATGGACTGGACAGCTAAATAGGTCTTCAAATTTCTGTGGTTATAGCAAGATGTGGCTCATGAATGTAGGCCTTCTTGCTATAATCTTGTTTTCTCTGTTATTTAAACATCCGCATTGCTACTTTTTTATATATAATTATTTTAAGATTTGTTTCTTGATTCGTTTTTTATCCAAACATTCAAGAAACAAGTTTTTAAAATATATAAAAGTCACAGTACAAATATTTAAGAACTATGTAGACATTTTTACCTAAATAATAAACATTTTAGAAGAAGTATGGAAAGTGCAATGGAGACACTTTAATAGAACTGAGACAGCAAAATTACATTGAGATAATAAAAACAGATTTACAGTCAATCAATTCAGAACATGAAAAGTATTCTCTTCTGCTCCTCCTGCATGCACAAAGAATATGCACAAAATACAAAATCATATGTTCCATTTGTAAGGATCTGTGCAATAATACACGTTACTATAGTACAAAAACAGAAATAAAATTACACCTATCCTAGCTTATAAACCAATGCATGTAGCATACTGTATTTGTTCTATGTCAGTTTTATGTTCATTGCTACAAAACAACTGCTTGGTTTCCCTCCCATTTACATTCATGATACAAACATGTTTGAAATGGGTTCTATATTTCATTTCAACAATGCAGTCTAGTTCCAAACCTCTACATTGTTTGTTTTTTAAAGGCATATATTAATATTCTATATTGGCTTTAATGGGCAAATAACTAACCTATTGGAACCTTGCTAACCCGTCCCGTTGGAATGACAGTTGTCATTGGAATGGCAATCTTGGCCAGTGGATAGGGCATTTAGGAATCAAGAGACCTATATTCTGTTTCTACTTCTGATACTGGCTTCTCTTTGTGACTTTGAGCAAAGTTAGGCACCCAGATCAGCATCTCTGAATATTGGGCTGGTATTAGTTGCTTAAATATCGATTAGGGCACCTGATTTAATTGCAAATTTTGCCCTTCACAACTTGGAATAATACTCTTACTTTGGTAAAGAAATTTTAGATCCACTTTCTGTAAAACAATTTATATTAATGTTAGGTGTATGTATTAATATTATTGACTCTAGATTTTCAACCTGAATTCTTATGCTCATCAATTAAGACACCAGAAAATTCTCTGTACTCTTAACAAATTCACCTCCCACACAATATTAGACCCTGTATTTTAGTATCACATAAAACATAGTTCTTCCTTCTGTTTTTTCCCCTGAGAGGAACTTTGCTGTTTTTTTCCAGTCTTTCATATTTTCCAAATATGTTTTTCATACCATAAAGAAAAGCAATTATCATTTTTATAATAAACTGATGCTTTGTGGCTATGAAAAACTCCAATCTCTGATAATTTAGAATTTTAATTTCATCTCACCCTAGAGATGCAGTATTGATGAAATTGTGTCAAAGCGAGGCAGCAGGACTCCTCTCTGAAATCTCTTGTGGATTAACACTAGATTGGTATTTCCAGCTTTATTGATTTTCATAGCAGAAGTTAAAAAATGTTTTAAGGAGAATGGGTCGTGTTGGCTGTGCTCTTTGTCCCTTTCTCATACATAAATTCTGATACAGTGGTCAACTAGTAGTGTCCTTATGGGTGGCAGAAACTTGATGGTTCTACTGGGACAATTTGCAGTCCTGCTCATTGTGCTCGTAAGTGAAGAGTATGATGTTAGAAGAAGTGTTTACTGTTGTCAGAGACAACAGAGCCACTCCCCACAAATAATGGTATATGCAGTGAAGGAAATGTTCTCAATTGGGACAGCTGGGTTGGGCAGAAGGCTGGTGGTGGGATGAGTGGCTGGGTGCCTAGGACACCCAGTGAGCTTGGATGTGTGTTGGAGTGCCTGGTACAGCAAGGAATAGACTGGGGGTAGTTTCTTGGGCCTCATTATTTCCCTGCCATATGTTGCTGTCTTCTGTATGTACCTAGACACTTGCATGGCCCCCTCCTCACAGTACATGAGCACCTGCTCCCTGTGCTCATCAGCTGCTCTTCTGGTTGCCACCCTGCAGGGGGAGCAGGAGTGGCCTTCAGAGAAGGTGCAGCAACCCCCATTGCCCAGAAGAGGAACTGTAAGGAAATCCCTGCTGGATATAGGATATTCCATGAAAGGGGGCTTCAGGCATGAATGTGATGCCAGAGGTATGCCCCTTAGCTGCCATGACGTCAGCTTTTGTCAGTTCTACATCAGTAATATAATAGAAAACACTCACTCTAAACAGGAGCGCCACCAGCTTTTCTGCCGCCCTAGGCAGCGGAAGGTCCCGCCCTGAAATGCCGCCTCCCACAGAGGCGGCGGAAGGTCCCGCCGCCAAAATACCGCCGCGGTCGCCACCCCCCAAATTGTAGTGCCCTAGGCGACTGCCTAGGTCACCTAATGGGTTGCGCCGGCCCTGACTCTAAAGAAGCAAGCCACAGCCCTGGGCAATGACAATTTCAGTAAATTTTACATTAATAAGATGGCCTGATAATTCCATTTCATGTGTAATCACCATGGTTACTTTTAAAATCTGAGGTTTTTTAACTTTGATTAAGCTTTTGTTTTATTTCATTGTCTCTTCTCCCTAGGACGGGTCACTGGGTAACATTGATGACCTGGCACAGCAGTACGCAGATTACTATAACACCTGTTTTACTGATGTGTGTGAGAGGATGGAGGAGCTGCGCAAACGGAGGGTTTCTCAAGACCTTGATATGGTAAGTGGAGTAGCTACATCTTTCCATCTCAGGCCTTTCTTGCATACACTACGGATGGAATACTCAGCATTCCAGCTCAGGGAAATAGGGCTGAGAACGCACATGTGTGCCCACAGAATAACACTTCCAAGCTGATGGTCCTAATTATTTTTGTGGGAAATACTGAGGTTGGTCTATTGATATGATTCATTAGGTTGCAGATTGCGTTAGCTTATTGTATCTTTTTGCTTACACAAAGTTCCTTACAGAAGTTGACTGAGATGGAAGAAAATGCTGCTTTAATATGAGAGAAATTAGTTAATTCTTTGCTCAAGGATGTTTCCAATATGGTTATTAGGAAATACACCTTTGTTCCTAAACCTCATATTATATAATTTTAAAACGTAGCTCCTCACAACTGTAAAATGTTGTCTTTTATTCAGGTCTCCCAAACTAAAGCAGTCTGTACACAGATACTGATCCTGCATTAGAATACACTAGCGTCCCAGAGAAGTTAGTCTGCCTCCTCAGAAGCATATAGTTCCACAGTAGCTGAAACGGATGTAGGCATGGACCATAGTTGTCAGTTTTTTTTTTTTTTTTCTTTTTGGTAAAGAAAATCTTTTTCTCAAAAGAGCCCGTTCTAAAATCTTAAGTGAGATTCTTTCATTGTTTGGCAATTGCTAATTGTTTCCTCTTTTCTTTTGTTTACACTATTTAGCCTGATTGCTGAACAAATATCTATGTAGAATGTACACTAAATATTATTACTTACAATACTTTTTTCATTATAATTTTTTTTTATTGGTTTTCAGAGTATCAGTAAGAATCCTTGTAATGTATAGAAACATGTTCAGGTCTTAAAATTTCACAGAATGTTGGGATTACTTCAGTAATATTTCTTAAACTTGGACCTTGACTTTTTTAATTTTATCATGATGATAATGTTTGAGTACTAAATGTAGGAACCAATAAACCAAAGTAGTTAGCAAAGACACAGAGTTTACATACCATGAACAGTGAAGTCAATCACTGTTGGTTCATAAGAGCTGTGACATGTTATAGTACATATCAAAGACATAGGAGTATATGCTGTCACATTAATACTTTACACCTCTCTAGTGCCATCTACCCAGAGATCTCAAAGGGCCTTTCAGACAAAACAACTATGAGGTGGAGCATCCCTAGTTTATACAGGTAAACTGAGGCACGGATGACTTTCCTATTGATTCACAAGCCTGTGGCAAAGCCAAGAATAGACTCGGGTCACTTGACTCTCACTCCTGTACTTTCACTGCAAGCACTCCTCCTCCTCCATTCACCCCTTCAGATACGTCCAATATTGTGAAAGGTCTAACATGCAGAGGAGCTTGTGAGCCTCCTGAATTTGGTTTGTAGACTTTTGGATTCATGTATTTACTGTACTTAATATCACAGAAAAGCAGATACTCCCACTCTTCCCCTTACCGTCCCCCCCCCCCCACCCACACACACACCTGATCCATACCATAGACAGCCAAGTGACTCTGGGAGCAATTAGAGACTTTCTATTGCTGCAGCAGTTGTGGTTTATGAGATGGACCACATGGCTGCTTTCTTTCTTTGAGTCCAGCAGCCCTGCCACATAAAAAACTCTCATTGACTTCAGTGGGAGTTGTGCAAATGGAAGAGCTTCAGAATCAGGCCGTAAGAAAATAATCTCCTGTGCTCAATTGAAGTTAGTTAATCCTTCTTGATTTATTTTTTTAAATGGAAACAATATTTCATTTTTAGCAGGATTACCATGGTGTAACAAATTAAACACTGTGAAGAAAAAGCTTTCATGCTATAGTTTTGAATGTTTAAGATTTGCATGCAACTCTATTGCAGGGGGCTCCGTATGGAACATTCCACAGTGTGCGGACAGCTGAGCCTTCTGCATGAATAAGTGACTGGAACAGTTTAGTGGTTCAATCTAATCCCGAGATACCATGCTGTCTTCCAAACTGCATACAGTGACTATTCCAGATAAGCTTTGGCAGTTATAAAATCTCCTTCCTGGCGCTCAGGAATTTTGGAAGACAGCTTCTGTGCTGGGTAACGAAGCATGTGTTACAACTGGAGAGAACTCCCTTCCATTTAGACAGATGGGCCTAATTTGGCTCTGTTCGTACCAGAGCTCCAGAAAGCAGTCTGGGGAAAGCCATACGAGCTTAATTAGCTCACATCAAAGATGCAGAACTTCGTGGTGGGTTAAAAAGATATGAACTAATGCAAGTCAGATCTGTGAGTGATTTCACCGGCTACTGCTTTCAAAGGGAAGTTAGTCTGAAAAGTGGCTGTGTGAAAATGGCATCTTGGGGTATATTTTTCAGTGGCTTCTGCATCAAATGTGCTCAGTTTATAAATCAAAAAGATAATTTTTTTGAACTGCCAGCTCTACGAGCTATGTAGAGAGAGAGCCTTGTGGTTGAAAATCAAATTAATGTTGTTACATCCATTCTCAGTACAATGATAAAGTTTTTGGGACATCAGCTAGCCATTCTGTTGATAATGCACTCTTCCACAGCTATATCCCAGCAGTGCTGACAGCAGCAAAAATTTTGTTATTGCAAACTTTACTTGGAAGGTACATGAGGAGCAGGTAGTGGACCTGTCGTCAGTAATACATTGTTGATTTAATAGATTAATATTACTATCTACAACTCTGCTTTAACTGGGAGTTGATTTAAATTGAAGAGCAGATGATAGTGGCTTGAGGAGCACCCAGAAAATAGGATGAATATTGTCCCATTCATTTTTGTCTGAGATTTTAACCTTAGCTTGCTGTTGAATTTTCTTTTAGGGCTGTTTTAGCCTGCCTCTGTACTACAAAAGGTATTATTATTAAGTAGGGGGTTGCACATGTCATAACCTGTGTAGGCCAAGCTTAATGTAAGTTGTTGTTAATGTATGTTCCAGAAGCACCCAAAGGCTCCTATCAGGACTGGGACCTCACTGTGCTGGGTGTTTTGTAAATGCAGATAATCTGTCGCAGTGATCTTGCATCTAAAAGACAAAGGGTGAGGATGGAGATCTAACATACAGGTAAATGAAAACGGCAGTGATTGGCACAGTTTTGTTAGTTATATATAGATCTTAGTGACTTGTTCAGATATATGGAGATATACCTATCTCATAGAACTAGAAGGGACCCTGAAAGGTCATCAAGTCCAGCCCCCTGCCTTCACTAGCAAGGACCAAGTACTGATTTTGCCCCTGATCCCTAAGTGCCCCCCGCAAGGATTGAACTCACAATCCTGGGTTTAGAAGGCCAATGCTCAAACCACTGAGCTATACCTCCTCCCAATGATGAAAGTCATTGTCCTTTGAAGTCCAGTCAGTGAAGGGAAGAAATCCAAAAGGATGGTCTCTTTACTGGTGCTACCCTATAGTTTTAATTTTCTGGGGAGAAAGTTTTGATATCTTAGTTCTAAATTTTGCTCTGTAATCAGCTCTACAACCATGCCTATCAGACCATGTCCATTTTGGTCTGAATGTCCTGCTCCAGGTTGAAACAAAAAGCACTCAGCAAAATTGTTCTGGAGAACAGGATATCTTGCATCAACGAAGCAGGGGCTGCAGATGGATGGAAAGCAGTGTTCTATAAACAAGGATTATGGTTCCAAACTGTAATGTTATCAAGGCTTTTTAGTTGGTCCCTAAACACAATAACTGTATTTTTCATTTGGATTTTTGCCTTTGTTTTTATAATGGTGAATATGCTGGGTTTGGGGGCATTAGTGTTTGTGAACAGCAAGGGAGTTACCCACATTTGCAAACATTTGGCCTGTTCCTGCACACCATGTGTTTTCTTGGCTGGGGAAAACTGCAGTCAGAATACATAGTGGCTTTTCAAGCCTAAAAGGGATGGATCACTGTTAATATGCAACTGGACATCTGTTAAAATGAAGTTATGGCCAGAAAAGTGACTCTGTGAAAGTGGCACCTTGTTACTGCTCATATCTGCTTCCTGTGAGTCTTTTGGAGATGTATCCGCTCAGTTTCCTGACATAAACAAGTTTGTAGGGCTGTTAACAGGGCACTGCAGAAATGATATAGCTGGGAAAGAGCATACTGCATTGTGTTGTCTCATCCATCACTGACAATCACCAGCTAAGTTCTGATTCTAGGATCTCTATTGTGGCTGATGATCTGTAAGGCAAAGAAAATACAGCTTGAGATTCAGATAGATTGAGTTTGTGCTTATATCAATGGCAAATGATAAAAATGTTTGGACTTGTAAGCTGCTCAAATTAAAGATGGATGTCACTGAGAAGCAATAAATAAGGAACACAGATATGCCACTTTCGTTGTTCCTTTTTAATAATATCTTATAAATGTTTTCATATGGAAAGAAGAGACCATCCAGTATCTTTTAATATATACATTGTAAATCCACCCTCCTAATCCCATATGTTCTTAAAGTGTGAGTATTTATACATACATACACAACACACACACACACACACACATGTACGTATAATGTTAGAAAATACAAATGAACACCAAACAAAACCGAAACCTTTTCTCACCACCAGCACACTTTTTAGGGTATGTAATCTTTGTATGCCACTGTGACTATGTGCATAGTTCTGAAAGGTGCTGGGCAACCAATTATTTGTTCACAAATTCTGTGTGCAGCAAGGAAAAGTGGGGGAAGATGGCACAAATAGGACAATTCATTAGCCTTTCACCTCTGGAGAGATGGATTTAGATCACATGGGAAATGAGATCATCAACTCTCTAGTGAATCTGTAAAAAGCAACAGAGGGTCCTGTGGCACTTTAAGACTAACAGAAGTATTGGGAGCATAAGCTTTTGTGGGTAAGAACCTCACTTCTTCAGATGTTTGGCCATATCACAGAACTACCATACCGGTTGTTGATGAGGTTAATTGAGCTAGTCTTTGCACAAGAGAGACCCAGATTAGAATAGCCATGTATGTTATAGGCCACAATAGACGTTTGTTGAGGGAACTGTGTGTGTTAAAGTGCCTACCT